TGCAGACCTACCTTTCTATCCTATGCTTCGACGCGCAGTTCTCGAGAAAGGGAAGCGCTGGCTTTCGTTTTGCAGCTTCTCAGGTCAGAGTGCGTGCATGAATAAAAAGTGGTCGCATTTTTAAATTGTGCTTTGCACTTTTTCCCGAGACGGCAGAAAAGCACTGGTCGCGTGACCCGTTGTTGAAACTGCAAGCGCTGTGAAGTTGGGCCGCGAGATGTGTTCCACTGACCTTTTTGTTGGGCCCCCCACACTTCCATGGTCAGAGAGCTTGCGCACCTTCCAAGTGGGTTCAGCTCATGAAGCCGTGATGCGCTGTCACTGGAACTGAGATATAGCGAGATAGTATGTCACGAGAAGACATGGGTCTCCATCCTTGCACGTAGGCACAGGAGAGCCCAAGCATCAGCACATCAGCACATGAGCTCACATTCTGCACATGTGCTCAAGATGTGCTGATTTTGCGCAGATTCACCATGACTCACCCTTTTCGCTCGGCAAATATGAGGGCAGACGATCAGCTCCGCAACCGTTCGCTCATTTCTTTTTGCCCGACCTTGCTTTATTGAGTCGGCGCCTACTTAATTTTGGGCAGGATAGCTTACCAAGTAAATGTAGGCTTGTAGCTACCACCTACTGGACGCAGGAGCGCTCGCAATATTCCTTTGCTTCCTAGATGTTTCTGAAATGTTTGGGAAATTTTAAAAAACTTGTCTTGGGGATTTGTGGACATCACTTTAAAGTCCAAGAGAACTGACGGCGAACAAACTGACAACAGACTGGCTGGTCATTTTTTTTCTGATGTTCTTAGGCCGAGAAGGCTGGGAGTCTGGGAGTAAGCTATCTGTTCCTAGTAGAAATGCCCTTTGCTCCTAGTAGCTTCTTGCTCCTAGTAGTACGGCCAGGAGCCTGTAGTAACGTCCTTGCTCCTAGTAGCGATGCACTTTGTTACTAGTAGCAAGAATGCTCCTAGTAGTAAGGCCAGGAGCCCCTTGTAGCGTTCTTGATGTTTCTTCGGCTGTAAAGGCTGGGAGTAGAGAGGTAAACTATCGTAGTACTGCACAGGCAGAAGGGCGAATAGTTCCTAAAAGGAAACCACCTTTGCCTGAGGACCCAACTAAACAACCCCTGCTTGATGACGTGAGGGCCTTCCTTGAGGTCTTCGCAGGATAGATTTGGTTCTTGAGTGTGTAGCGACACTTGTCGCTTAGACATGTTCAGACCGTTCTTTTCATTTCCTTTTCCCTTCTTTTTTGCTATATAGGTTGGAGGCCGCTAGTAGGTTGGAGGCCATCGCTGTAAACAAGACTGATGCGCGTCCTGAGGAAGGAATTGGGAGCGATGTTGAAATCCTTGGCCGAAAGCGAAGAAGTCACCGTGGAGGAACTCATCGACGCTTTACCTGGGCTGCTGAGCAGCATGCTGAAAACGGACACTTTCCGTCTGAAGTAGAAAGTAAAACACACCGAAGGAACTAGACAAACAAAGGAGCTAGTCAAGTAACAGTTGTACGCGAAACCCAGAAGCCAAGAAAACTAGTCAGTTTTCGGAATCGCAACACGGTTTTGTATGTTTCATGACACTTAGAGAACGCACGAGGGCATCGCAAGTAGGTTGGAGGCCATTGTAATTAGGTTGAACGCTGGGACTTCCTCCAAGTGTGGCAGTTCTTGAAACCCCACGGACCTGGGTAGGTGGGACCCCCCCTCCATACTAGTAACCAGGGCATCGCTGCTAGTAGCAAGAAGCTACTAGTAACAAGTGCATCGCATTCTTGAAAAGGGAGGATTCCTTGCCTGGAACATGCGCTGACTGCATTACACTGCATTCGTTTTGCCCTGCATTGCTGACTTCATTTGTTTGTTTTACGACATGGCTCTCAACAACTATTTTGGCCTAGAATAACATGGTGGGGCAAAATATGGGAAGCATACATACATTGAGACTTTGATGCTGAACAGTTTGGATCTCAAAGTAGTGTCTGTCGGGCAAGGACATTCAGCTGGTTCCTGCGACTGCGCGAGATTGAGGGGTGAGCCGCCGTGCAGGATAGATTTCCACAAATGTTTGGAGAGATCCAGTGGAAAGCACAATGTCACGAACCCACATAGAAGAACATCTGTCTTCCTAAAGAGCTGATGGTGGTTGTAGTACGTCCAAGTTTGAACTTGGAAGAGTGTTTTTGGATGTTGGAGCATAGTCAACAATGAGAAGATCAGCTAATATCTAAGTGTCCCTATGAATCTAGGAACCAAATCATTAGTGTGAGTGCTTCCTTGAAGAAGCATGAGCTATCCTGTGTCCATGTCTAGAAGCTGACTGAACTAGTTGCCTTACTTATTTAAGTAGGCGCCTACTTGATTAAGTAGGAGCGGGCAAACATGTATCAACTCACTGTTGTTTGTCTTGCCCATTTCAATCGAGGCCTCTTAGCCCGGCCGATCTGACAGGAGCCCAAAGTTGGCTCACGTTCAGCCTCGCTTGGTAAATTTGCTGAATTGAAATTCATTGTTACTAGTAGCTTCTTGCTACTAGTAGTATGGCCAAGAGCCCCTAGTAGCGTCCTTGCTCCTAGTAGCGATGCACGTGTTACTAGTAGCGAACATTGCTAGTAATTAGCCATCCTTTCCGAGAAAACAGTGACAAAGAGTGTAAGTAGACACGAAGGGGACATGAAGATCTCGCACTGCGGGAGGATCATTTCGGAAGGCGGAACGCGAAACGGCGAGACGGCGAGACGATCGAATCTTGGCGCCCAAAATGCCTGAAGCCTTGGACACGAGCGTGACATAAGTATACATAAACATATACACAAAGATACATAAACTAGACATCAACATGACTTAAACAAATTATTGATATCTAAAGCAGAACTGTTTCCATCAATCTTGCAGTTTGATGGAGCAATCCAGACCATCTCCCTGATCTCTGTCAGACTGGCTTTTGCTAAGTTCTGCGGATGTGGCGCTGGCCCGGAGCTACATGAAAAGCTGCGCATCGGCGCAAGAGTGGCAGATGGCTCTCGACGTGCCCGGGCTCTTAGCGACGAGACTTGTCCGGAGCCCCTAGTAGGTTCTTGTTACTAGTAGTTTCTTGTTCCTAGTACGGCCAGGAGCCCCTAGTAGCGTCCTTGTTACTAGTAAGGCCAGGAGCTACTAGTAGCCGGTTGGCACTTCAGGACTCCAAATTTGTGTGTTTGAGCCATTCTGGTCGGACGACCACGTCGATGTGCGAAAATTGCTGATGTTTGAGGAAACCATCAGCAGGTAGCTTGCTTGTTGCCTGATAGCCTCAATTTGATGGTGCTTCTCCGTGCTTCCAAGGCCTATTGTATCTGAAGATCCTTAAGAACTATTGAAATTCTATACACACGACAGCATCGCTACTAGGTTGGAGGCCATCGCTACTAGGTTGGAGTCCATCGCTACTAGGTTGGAGTCCATCGCTACTAGGTTGGAGGCTATCGCTAGTAGGTTGGAGGCCATCGTGGTTGGAGGCCATCGCTAGTAGGTTGGAGGCTATTGCCACTAGGTTTGAGAAATAACTCCTGAGCTTGACGGGTGGTCGTTTGATGGAAAGGGTTTGACAATTCTGGGGTCAAGACCAGTTTCCGAACCAGCCAATGAGCAGCGGAGCTGACAAGAAAAGAAGCTATCAAGTCAAACCGCAAAAGACCGACGATTAGTATTTTTTATTTCTGTTCAGACCGATCCTCCAGTTCTGAACCAGATCGAGGATCGTAGCTTCGGGTTCACATTCGAGGCTTGAAGATCTTGAGGCCTCTGACAAGGTGTGGAAACGCTGGGGTTGAGGCTCGTAGGATCCTGTGGCCAGAGCAGATGCATGTGCAGGATGTATTGCTAGCACATGCAATTTTTATCTGAAAGTCAGACGTCTTCGGTTGAAGATGCTGCAGGCACTTGTTCAGCGACCTCCAAAGGCTCAAAGGTTTTCTTCTGGATCTCAGCTAAGCATCTCCATCAAGCATTGTAGGACATTGACGAGATGACCTACGCTGCTGCCATCACGGTCGCTAAACTGCAGGAGTTTTTCTTCTCTGACCAGCCTGGGAATGCAATTGGATGCAATTGGCCTTTTGGTGTTTAAGAAGCCAAGTTAACCTTGCGAGAAGTCACATTGGGTTGGTAGCACTCTGGAAATTCAAGGGGAGCACAACAGCGAGGACAAACAGATTGCAGTGGTCCCGCAATAATGGCCCTTACTAATTAAAGGGTACACTTTTTTGTCACTTGTTTTACTCTCGAAACTTAACGATTCAAACTCCTTTGAGCGACCTTATCAAGGCAACCAAAATCGGGACACTGCAACTCAACCAATCGACAGATACATCAGACACAGCCAAATGGCCCAAGGAAGATGCAAGAGTAGAGGCACGGGGTAGGTAACCAGGTATACTGATGTGTGCTATCGGGAATTCGTTAGCCCAATGCGGCATACCGAATGACGGTGTAGTAGGCAAGGTATTTGAAAAGCACTCACCGTTCTTCCAACTTGATAGGCCCTTGCAGTGTTTCGAGGTTCTTTAACACAAGGTGCGTTTGCATGACATTTCTCGGCGTCGTGTCTTGGCAATTCCTGTGCACCATGATGCCACGTCTGATGCGATGCCATGGACATGCGCCATGGGGGTCGATGCCAAGGTTGATGCCAACTCAGACTGCAGACCACGGTGTCAGCCCGTACCACTGTGCTGGCTGTTTGAGTGCGGTAACAGTCAGCGTTGTTTGTGCCAGTCTTTGGCGAGTTGCCCCAGGGCAGCATGTGTTGCGTGCACGGGTTTTCTTGCACGCCACAGGATTGAATCTGAAGGATGAAGAGGAAGATGAGGACGAGGATGACGATGAGGATGAGGATGAGGAGGATGATGAGTTGGAGGAGAAGGTTATGAATATAGCCCAGGCTGTTTTAGATGAGCTTATTAGCTTCGCTCCAGTGGTTGGCCCTGCCAAAGATGCAGTCCGTGCTTGGCAGGATGGGCGGGTTCGGGACTATTGTTTTCATGCGGTCATGGTGATTTGTGACCTCACGCCAATGGTCCTTGCAAGTGAGGCGGCAAGAATGGCCAAACTTTCTTCACGTGTAGCCAAGCTGGTGAGAAAAGGTGAGAAGGGTTACTCCCTGAGAAAGGTGGCAATTGCGGCCAAGAGATTGACAAAGGATGCTGAGAAGGCACAGAAGTTGACACCTGAGATTCAAAGAGTTCTAAAGCTGATCTACAAAGTTTGTGTCCGAGTGGAAAAAGAGGCTTCCTCTGACCAATCTGACAAGGAGAAGCAGAAGCAGTAGCTGCTCCTCTAGTACTGACTTTGTTGGATTCGCTATGCTTCATGGGCATCGGTGATGGACAGGTGCGAGAAAAGGCATGCCATCATTTTTTGGATGTTCTCTTCCAGACTCCAGGCCCTTTCTTTTTGTCCAGTGTGTTCTGGTCGAATCAAATGAGAAAAACTGCTGCTTGCTTTGGCCTTGCTCCAATTACTTCTTTGTAGGTCTTGGTCAGCGATGTTTGCCGTCCAACAAATTGATATGCCCTGCCGTTGTTGCTTTTCGGGCGATTGTCACCCAAAGCCTGGCGCTGGGCAGACGAAGCTCCGCCTCAGCGCCAAGGCCATCTGCTCTGGGGAGGAATGGCACCAAGCCATGGCCCTCTTCCAACACATGCAACGTTGGGGAGACTCAGAAAGTATCAACAGTGCCTTCGGGAGCATCGGAGATGTCCAAGATGTTTAATTTACTTATTGGATTATTGGAAGACACCAGGTGTCAGGATGTCAGGAACACGCTGAACCGGATTATGCTCCGGAACGGGCATGGTAGTACTGCCAACTCAGCATTTTGGCAAAGTGGCTTTGGGCATCCATCGAATCCCGGAGCATCCTTGCTCCTAGTAGTATGGCCAGGAGCCCCTAGTAGCGTCCTTGCTCCTAGTAGTATGGCCAGGAATCCAACGAATCCCATTAGGCGATAATCATCCCCATGTCCGGGGCGCCTCTTCTCATTGCCTCGTCGCAGCGGAGGGTTCGATACTATTAGTAGCGATGCCAGGAGCCCCTAGTAGAATATCAAGAGGAACATGGTGCATGTTTTGTGTTTCGGAGAGATGTGGATCGCATCTGATTTCAGGGATTCGTTCGTGTTCGAAGCAAAACGAATTCAATCATGGCGACAGAACTTCCCCGAGCTCCGATTTGGCGCCATGGATGGTGCCCTGCCTTCCTTTGAGCCTATGGCTACAGGTGACTCAACATCTCGTTAGTGATGATAAACACGGTCTTGTTTGTTACTAGTAGCCAGAAGCTACTAGGAACAAGTGCATCGCTACTCTATCCAAGGCTTATCAGGTTTGGCAATCCCAGATTGCTGTTCAAATTATAAAATATATATGGTTTCTACTAGCTTCTTGTTACTACTAGTAAGGCACTTGTTACTACTAGCT